CCTAGCTGCCAAACTCTAAAATAAACAAGCAAAAAATACACCCCGAGTGCGATAAACAGCAGCAACGAAATGTACATAAATACATACATTTTACGTACACAAATACATATGTACATATTTGCGTTTATGTACAACATTTTCGATGTGTGCAAATAGTCTCGTGCGTTTGCGTTCAATGGTCAGTCAGTCAGTCAGTCAATGCTACAATCTGCAGCGTTGATGGATGAATGTGCGTTGCTTTCGATTACGCATACGCCATGTGTGCGCCCTCCCAACGGTGCCACTCGACGAATGCTTTTGCTGCCAGACATAAGCAAGCGAAAAGAAGCGCCTAACTCAGATATAACTGCCATAAAGCTGGGGCACGTTTTGGTTGATTATCTAGAAGTGTAGAGAATTCACTTTCATGTCCAAAGGATCGCCAAACTCTAATAAAACAAGAGAAATATACTCCTTCTTTTGGTGAATTTTCTGTAAAATACCAAAGGGTACCCCAAATACATTTTTGCGTTTTTTTCCAACTTTACAACTCATTCAATCAGGTTGATTTTTGTTAGGGTGAAAGATAGAAAGAAGCATTGTGTAGAAATCTATGAAAAATCAGCGCCCAATCTTACATAGCATTAGCCTTTATAGTTCCCTAAATGAATGTACAACCATAAGGTTTATTTAACATCTGCTACTTAAGGACAATTTACAACAATTCATACAGCTTTTCCAGAGCAAAATGGAAACTGAATGAACTTGTGTGTGTTTTAAACAATAATTGAATGCAAAATTATGCCCATAATAAAACGAAACGTGTTGTAGAAAGACAAAGAGAGAAGAGACTGCCGAGTCAATTGAATATTTAATTCCGAAATCAATTCAAGTTAAGTGCAATAACAGAAGCTGAACGCTGAAACCAGTTTCGTTTTGTTTTTTTTTTGTTCAACATATGCAGGCGCAACTGCAAAAAATCATCAGAAGAAAACAAAACTCCGTGCCAGGCTCAAAAAGGCGCCCATAAGGCGTTCTAATCAATGCACTTAACACGGCAATAACTTAATTAATTTCCAATATGGTGTGGTGTGGTGTGGTTCTCTCTCAGAGAGAGAGAGAGAGAGAGAGAGAGAACCACCCACTTAAAGCGAACTTTATACGATCCCCAACGAATCTCAATTAAGATTCATTTGCGAATGTTCAACCCACGAGGAGGAGGCGTACCCCATAGCACTCCCACTTCGAACCAAAGGTCGCGCCTGTCATGTGCCTCGTCCCTCGTAATATAGTCCAAAAACACAACGAAAATATGAAGCGAACACGCCTGCTAATTGACAAATAGGAAACTCACGATCGGTCAAAGATATTTATAGCACTCGCTAAACAATCTGAACAATCTGACAGCAGCCCCCAAAGCCGGAGGCTGCCGCAGGCAGCAGCAGAATCACAAGCGGGCTCGTTGACCATTCCCCCCCGCTCTGTTCTCCGTTCTCCGTTCTCAGAGCTAAATTGATGTGAATATTATATATCGTATCTGTATCTAAAATCAAAATTTGTAAGCTCAAATTATTCAAATCGATTGGATAAATATTGAAATTGATCTTACAAAATTACTCAACGATGAACGTATTAATTTGCAAGTCGCGAGGACAATTTATAAAAGAAAAGCAAAAAAGGAGACTTAAATATTCTTTTTAATATATTTTATGCTTGCAGGAAAAGTTCAGGGAACTTTGTTCTGATCACCAATAGCTCTGCAAATCGTTAAACAAATCGAAAAGCCTGAAAATGTGCCTTAGAAATGATATTTCCCCCCCTCATGATTCATCTTTTTTTCACAATTAATTGCATCAACTTATGTTGTACACCTTTCGAAGGTCTTTCCCCTGAGGCACACCCAATGACGCCTGCTGCTGTGCGCTGCAATTAAGCGGAAAATGTACGTCTACAATTTGGAAATGAAAACAAGAGACAACAAACAAAACACTCGGCAATAACAACATTCATCTGCAGAGTGTGCCAAAAAGGAAAATCGCTTGAACTTTGGGGGAAACTTTTCTCAAATTATATATTTAGCTGCAGCCGCCGGCAATTGTTGTACCCTGGTCAGGTGGGGGTATTCGGATTTCCGTGCAAAATTCTTGGGCATTCTCTTTGGTCGCATTCGCTTGTGCGTGTCGAGTCACGCTCTTCGCTGCTGTTCGATCTGCCAGGGTATCCAACTCTTCGAACCCTTAGCCAACCGATTCGGTGGCAAATGTCGTAGAAATCTAATAAATTGCATTTGCAATTTGCATGCCCAGAATGTGTCGTTGTGTCTGTCTCCTACGTACGTTCGATTCGGCTTAATTTTATTGTTTCCGCCAACTAAAAATTGCACATTAGATCATGTCACAATAATTTGATTCTATTTTATGCACAGATTTGTTTGCCAAAATCCCGCGAGAGAGAGGGAGAGACTTTTCATTTGTTTTCCAATCAATTCGTTGGAATTTCTCTCATCTAACAATAGCTTCGAAATGTTCAAGATTCCACAATTAACGATTATTAAAGCTATTCGTGCTAATCGCATTAGAAGAAACTCACGAATTGATTAATAAACTACGTCAATTACCATACAAAATAATCGAAAAATAATCGGAATCAATTGACAACTTCTGGATCTGGACTCTTATGTAAATTTATCTTTCTTGAGCTCTGGCCTGTCAGCAAAAGGGTTCGTAAAGATATGGACTTGGCAATCTTTAACTATAATTTATTTACGGCCACTTCACTGTGGCCAATTAGAGTGCAATTAGGCGCTTTGTTGGCGTATTGTGGTAGTATCTTTATTGGCTCCTTGATTTGCCCCAGACCAGACCTCACTTATGAGTGACCAACTTGGGGTGTTTGCTTGTTTGTTGTTTGCAACAACTTAAGTGTCGCCAGAATTCTTGGCAATCTCCTGGCCACTCTCATAAATTTCGCAAACCCCCAAGGAATATAAAACAGAATCCGATACAGCCAAGTCGCAGATAATTGGCATTAGCTTTTTATATTCTGTTTGGGTTTTCCTCTAAAATAATTGTTGGTTAATTCATCTTTTGGCCTCCTGGCATGGGTGGCAAAACCTGCAGACGCTCAGCATTTTTGTGTTCCGCACAAAATGGCCAAGAATCGCGTGGGCTTTGACTTAATTTTATTTCGCCTCACGAAACATATGAAAAATCAATTTTCGTATACGCTAAAAAAAGATCAACAGAGGATCAGCGTAGGAAAAAATATAAACAAACAAACGAAACGAAAATGTTGTGTTGAAATGCGTTTGCGGTGGGGCAGGCAGGCAGGCAGGCAGGCAGGCAGGCAGGAAGCTGCTCACGTGAGACTTTGTTTGGAAATGTTGTAAATTGAGTTTGTGGGCTTTCGGAACGGGGTCTATGGGTCTCTAGATCAATGGAAAACACTAAATATTTGCAGTTGAAAGTATAAAGTAAAGTAAAGTGGTATTGAAGGCTAGAATGTTGCTCTTTCGGTTTATTTCTGATCAATATTCTGCGGTCAGAACTTTGAGTAATATTTTTTTAAATTTTGAATACTCTTTTTTATTTTTCCTTATAATTTCTGCTTTCAAATGTCTGTCTGGCTCAGCAGCAAAAATGCCTCACAACTGAGGTTTCCCCTTAAATTTTCTTTCCAAGGGGAGTAAGTCGTGTGGTGCAGAGGAATGTCGACATTTTCCAGGCGCTGGCACACAAATATTTGTACAATTTTCTCAGCAAAGCTCAAAGAGTTGTTGGCTGTGAAAAATGGTCATAAATTGTATTTACTTTCCCTGCCCATAAACAAGTTGGCAGCGCAGCCCTAAACGCACATTACGTATGCCGAAAGAATGCCAGCGCAAATGGTTACAGCAAGAAATATTTCCTGGGATTTTCCAAGCAGAGCATGTGCTTGCGAAATTTCCCACAAAAGTGCTATTTATAAAAGCATTTACACTAGGATTTGGGTAGACCCTCTGCCCCGCGGTTCGTAGATAAAGCAAAGATGCAAAGCGAATAGCAGAGAGCACAACAGAAAACAGCTGTTTGCTCTATGGCGCCGACAAACGCGCCGCTGCCTCGGCTGCTGCTGCCAGAGAATTAGAAACAAACAAAACACACTCGCAAAAAGAACAGCAGAAACAATAAAAGTAGGCAGGCAATCAGAAAATAGAATACGGCAGAGAGAGAGAGAGAGAGAGAGAGGGAGATAGACGTATAAACAGTAAAAAGCTCACACGCGCCACCAGGTTATGATCTTGCGCAAGTGCGATCTCTTTGATGTAAAAAGCTTATTTGCTGTTGGCACACACACACACACTCCCAGCTCTCCATTTCTTTGGGGACACTGCACATGCTGAAGAGTGTGAAATAATCTTCAGAGCAACAGATAAATGTTGAGATAGATTTATTTTCTCCAATTCCTCACCTTCAATATCAGCAGAAACTGCGATGCCCTCTTTCATGTCTTTCAGTGTAGAACCCACCCCATGCACCACATTCTCCCACTCTATCTCTCGCCCCAAGCCCACACGATGCGCTCGAAGCTTTGATTTGCGCGCTCGCTTTATTGCACTCTCACTCACTCCCACTTCCACCCATGCGCAATGGGCTTTACGCCGCTCGCGTGCCTGCACTCTCACTAGACATTTACCGCTCTCATTTTGTTCGCGCTCTCCACGACCACCCATTTAAGCTTTTTGGTTTGGTTTCATTCAGAAAGCAGCATGAAACCGGCCTGCTAGCCGGGCCGCCCCATGAGAACATTGAACGCATTCGAACGCTCCGCACGTAGGCCTACCACCCGTATACATTTGTTGTTGTTGTTGTTGTTGCTGCTGCTGCTGCTTACCAAAGGGCAACCGAGGGAGACGCGACGCGAGTGTCTCGCTCACTCCTTTCGCTTGTTAACGATATCTTTCAACTCACCCTACCGCCAGGCGATAAATGTGTAAAAATATTGAAATGAATTTGAAAATACCCCAAAAATAAAGGAAAACAATGTGAATTGAAAATTTAAATGTGTTGCAAATTAAATTCAAGTGCTGCTGCTGGCACGACGAATGACAACGACAAAAGCAAATTGCAGATCGCAATAAATTAAAACAATAAAAGGCATCGCGAGAAGAAACAAAAAACGAAGGAGAAGAATCGAACGTGCGCTGAGGAGAAGGAGACTGACAAAATCTACATAAATGTGGTCGCGATCGCTGTGGTTGTTGTGCGCGAAAAGTTCTCGATGCCAAAAAATCAAGTGATCAAAAAAACAAGACTGTAAATCGAACAACAGAACAGAAATACAGAAACAGAAACGGAAAAGACACACGAAAGGAAACAGAAACTGAAACAGAAACAGGAACATCAAACGTAACATTAAAAGATGGTTGGCAAAGTCTTGGGACTGAAAGACTTGGAGCAGTTTAGCAGTCGTCGGAGCAGCGTCTACGTCGATCCCGAGTGCGACAAATTCTTCGAGTTGCCGCTCTTCATAGCTGCCAGCTCGAATGATATCACAACCAAATGCCAGTGCTGGCAGCTCAGTCCAGGTAATAAAAATCCAGTCATTAAACAGACGAGAACGATCCATCCAACAAACTACAAAATAAAACAAAAAATTAAAATATTATTGACAAAAAGATGAGCTTAAATTTGACCAAAAATAAAATGTAAAATTTTTACTTTATTTCATATAAAGGTAAATTCCTTTACACAAAATGATATACAATGTGATTTAATTAAAAATAAATGTGCGACTCATTTATTCAAAACGTGAATGCTAATTAGGTTATATTTTAATAATATTAATTTAATTATGAACGCTGCAAATGCTTTATTTATTTAGCATTTTGTGTCCCTGATTCACTTCTGAGAATTGTTAAAACGGAAACGGGAAGTTGAACAAAATAAACAATTGGGTGGGATTGATTGAGGGAACAATTTTAAATATTTTTAACACAAATGGAAAGGAATTAACGCAGAATAGAAAAAATACATATATAAACAAAAAATGTAAATCAATCTGTTGAATGTGTAAAATGTTTTCCCAATTCAAATCACGCAAAAACAATGAACGATCTGGGAGTATTTAGCCGTTTAAAACCGATTGGAATTGCCAAATAATTGCTGAATTTAATGATAAAACATTTGAGAACTGATTTCAGATTGGTTGGTACTTAAAATATGTGATTAATGCATGCAGCGATTAGATTCATTTAGATTTGTGTAACATTATGAGGCATTTTGTGTGGGGTTTTTGTCTTGCCACAAACACAAATGAAATTGATTGCCTTGATAGGAAAATGACCGCATCTGTTGTGAGTGGAAGGTTGCATAAGATAAGTCCCCTCAGTCTCCACTTCCATATTTGTTGCTTGAAAAATGCAAATGGATCGGCTGTGGATGCTGTATAAAATGGGTAGGGGATTAATTACCCACACAAGCTGTGTGAGAGAGAGACAAGGGACACTCAATTATACCAGTTTTTATTGTTATTGCATTTCAAATAGCAATGAAAACACAATCCCCCATCCCTATCTACTCTCTTATCGTTTGTTCTTTTGTCATTTGCATCTGCATTTGGTTACTAAATGATTTTTTATGATATTTTTGTAACGTGAATTGCATTGTAAAACTACAGAAAAAACTGCACAGCTCGAAAGAGTAAATAAATCAAAGAATTGCCAAGTTTGTAACTGATTTGCCGTTGACTGATGATATTGATATGACGCTGTTTTTATGCTTATCGGTGGAGCAAGATAACACCCAGCGATAGATAACTGTTGGAGAGTGTCCATGCAAAAATCGATCAGCTGTCTGTCGTTTTGCTGTAATGTGAGTTGTCCGCACTGCAATCAATTACCCCGTCCAGATAGCTAATCAATATGGCAAAAGCCACAGCCACAGTCCGCCTCCCACCCGATGTGGTTCAATGTGGCATTGGCTGGGCCAACGCTGCGGCTACTCGTTCGTGGTTCAAGGCTAATCGTGGGGGACTGCTGGCCCACATATGGCTGTTGACCAGCTGACCAGAGCGATAGAACAAGCCGAAAGCCAAAACATCGATCTACGCTTGTCAAATGGTTTTCATTTCGATTGGAGGGCTATCAGAAGCGGCAGATAATTGTTTTTTGACTATTTTTTATGTTTTACTTGGACTAGAAGATTAGAGAGGAAATAGTTAGAACTTTAAGAAGACTTATCGATATGAAATTGCAATGCTCCGATTGGTCTCGATATTTATCTTAACGAGAGTTCGATTGCAATTATATCGATTTTTTATCAGGAGATATTATTCTAGCATTAAACTAATTGCTAATTATTCCGATTTAACACTGCATTTATTAATTGACGATAGTTGAACATCGATACACTTGTTTCATGATTGTTTCGTGTACTTTACTACAGCTGTTGATAGATAAAGAAACTTCTAAGCATTGTCTAGCCGATAAACATTTTCCCAAGAAACTTTGACAAAACACCAAAATTTCCATAAAATATTTATAGCTCCAGTGAATCACCCAAAAAAAAAAGGTTTAGCAGTTCAGTGGAAGTCTTAACGATATTTTCATGGTACATATTATAGGTGCCTTTTGATGTTTTTAGCTCTTTTTTTTTTGTTTTTTATCAACATCAAAACTTATCAGATGCATTTTGCTCAAGTACCGCTTGGCGCTCGAGTAATTTTGAACATTACGTACGAGTAGAACGCTGTTAAGGAGGAAATTTAACTACTTATCGGTACACTGATAGCTGTGTGCAAGTTTGCGACTTTGATGATAGTGTGCCAGAGGGGGGCCTCTGAGCAATAATAACAATAAGAATCATGTCATGTGATCAAACAAACATGGCCTAAACACCAGCAGCAAGCCGTAGTTAATGACCTAACCTAAGTGGGATTAGCTTGTAGTTTAATCACTATATTTAGACCCTTATCAAGCGCCAGCTAATCGCATTTCACAATCAATTTGCCATATTTACAGGCAAAGAGCCGGCGCTGCGCTCCTACACGGAAATCCAACAGCTGCTGCAGCAGGGCAAGAAGCGTGACGTTAAGAACATACTCAGAGAGAACTCCTGGCCCATCAACTCTCCCATACGTGCCCAGCTATGGCCCATGCTGTGTGGCCAGCATCTGACCAAGCAGCAAATGCTCGATGGGTTCTACTGGGAGATGGTGCATCAGGTGAGCCGGGAGACGATGCCTTCATTTGATTGATTTTTGATTTAATTCTGTTTTATTTTTGTCTGTCTAGGTCTTTGGCACCACCGAGCTGTCGGAGAAGCCGATTATGCTGCCCGCCTTTGTGGATGCCACACACTGTTTGCCGTACCATTTGACCAGCACGGGACGTGCCGTTGCCGATCGCATTGTGAATGTCTTGGGCTATGATTGCCCCGATATTACCTACAGTCCAGTATTGTATCCCATTACATCGATACTTTTGCATTTCATGTCGGGTAAGTTCTTTTCGTTTATGGTGTAACAACAAGTGTATAATTATTACTTCTCTGTGTGTTGTGTGCTATCTGTAGGGTGTACTACTCCACTCTCATCCACTCCACACACTGGTCGTCAATGGTCAATATTTGTTCAAGTCATTTTTATCGCCTCCACCAAACACACAAATAAGTGGCACAATTGTAAGGCCACTCGACACTCCATACATCTTTCTCTCTTCACTTCTGTATTCGGGGAAATATGGAAGTAAATTCTCTGTGCAAGCCAGCTCGCAGCTCATTGCAAATTGATGTGTCGTGATTTGGTGGCTAATTGATTTGGCCAACATCAAATATGCAAATGTACATTTCGGCTTTATTTTTGTGTTGTTGTGTATCTTGTGACAGTACAGTGTGCGTCATGGCTTTAGCGTGGATTCAAGATCGATGTAGAAAAGTTCCCTTGTAATTTCAAATCCCTTTCTTGCCTCTAAATAATTTCTGTGTGTGTTCCTACACCTCGTACATGAAGCTGCTTGTCTCTGGCTGTAATTACTGGACAAATCCGCTCTTATTGCGCTGCAATTAGCTCTACAATCATGTAACGCACCGTACACATTTCCCTTTTCTTTCTTTCTGTCTGGACAGTCCGCTTCACGTGCAGTTCCGCATTTGGTTTGCTTTTGCTGTTTTTGTAATTGTTTGTATCACTTTATTATCAGCTTCTCATGATTGTCGCACTCTTTGCAGCTTAATCTACATAATATATACAGCCGAGTATTTGAACAGAGACAGAGTATTGTTATTTGGTTAAATCCAGTCAGGTGTGGACATAAGTGTGTGCAAAACTGTCCAAATGCAGCGACTGCTGAGACTTTCATGGAAATTTCCAAATTGCAAAGAGAGCGACAAGTGGAAAGGTGGAATGTGCAAGGTGGAAGTGCAGGGAAGGTAATCATCTTTAACCTTCACAGAGCTATGCATTTCGGAAGCTTTTGTTTAAAACGATTCCCAGGCTGGCAAGTAGATTAAACAGACAGCTGGTCATGTGATAACCTTTACCCCAAGCTTATCGATAATGCATTTACATGTAGGTAGCTAGGCTCCCCCCCTACCTAACCCTAAGATCAGCTTCAGACCCCATTCATAGAACAAGAAGAAAAACAAGCCCATGGAGCGATCTGTTCAAGTTTGTGAGCATCGCTCGGGCTGCTATCATTGTGTATATTATTATCGCGTATTCATTCCCAATTATCTCGAATTTCGTTGGGTCTATATATAGTATAGGGGGAGGCAAACAGGAGGGCAGGCGGTGGAGAGCCGCCCTGCTGATAAGCCGCTTGGGGGAGAGGTCAGACCCGGCGGCGTTTGCCTGTCATTTCTGAAGGTTTGTTTACACTGAGCGAAAATTGTTCCCTTCCTCTCGCAAGCTGTCTGGGGCAGACATTCAAATTCAATTCCGGTTGAGATCTCAAGGCACAGAGTGTATTTTGTTTTGTTTTTCAGACCGCAGACGGTACAAAGTTCTACTCGAAATGTGTGAGGAAAATTTTTAGAGATCTTCTTAAAACCAATGAAAACCGAATTTGATTGGTAGAAATATTTCCAGAGATTTTTTTTTATTTATTACGGATTAAATCTTCCACACACACCGCTCTTAAAAACTATCCGAAAAACTTGAATTATTCCATTTGTTTTCCATCCATAAATTGTTTACTTGAAATAAATTATTTTTTCGCATATTGCGTGGAAGTTTTTTCCAAACAGAAATGGAAATGGAATTGGAATTTTACAGCTGCAAAAAATAAAGTATAATTTCCATAAAGTGTCCGAATGAAGGACACTCGAGATCGAATTCGAAATCAAACGAAATGAAATGAAACGAAATGGAAAAACTGACAGGGCATGGCATGGGCATTGGCCACTGGGCATGTGGCGAGCGATGAGCTGCATGTTCAATCAACGCATTTCCATATTGAATATTTCTCTCCTTGTTGTTGTTGATGTTTTTTGTGCACTTTTCAAGTTCAAGAGTCTGTCCGCTGCCGGTATGTACAATATGTAAGCAAATGCTTAAAGTGATATGTAGATAGTAATGCCATATGCAAACGTATCTCTGTATCTCTGTCTGTTTGTATTTTGCTGTCTGACGTCATTGCCATACGGATTCGATTCGATTCTGCAATTTGCGAATTTCGATTCGCCTTTACCCACTTAAAGTAAACAGAAGGCAGAAGGCATTGCAGCAGGCAAAGGAGGGGCGGAGAAGTCGAAGATTCTCAAGGCTTCGCCACATTGTTTGTTTTTGGTTTTGCCTTTCCGCTGCGCTCTCTCTCTCTCTTGGCTCCCTCTACACTCTCTCTCCCACTTGAGTGCCCTTCAATTCGTAGTTTACTGACACACTTTTCCTTGGTGCTTGATAATCTACTTATTGTGTGCATTTTGTAGGATGGTGCACAACCCTACAGCCTTCAAATGTTTCATTTCTCCAGCTCAGAAATGTCTGGAATTGAATTTTGTAGTTGCATGTATACAGGGAGAGAGAGAGAGAGAGATTACAGATTGTAACTGTAAATTGCCTCTCCCAAGCAAAAGTGGATTTAAAAGCGATTTTCGAGCAGATCTTTTATCCAATGAACAACTTCTACTGCCATCTATTTATAGAACAAGCACTCTGTGCTTCGCTTTACATTTGCTCTTCTCTTCTTCTCTCTTTATGCTGTCCCCTGCTCTGCTCTGCTTTGCGTTTGCCTATGACGACAACACGTGAGCATAAAATTCGCATAAAATCAAAACGTAGACTAAAAATATTTGTACTCTTGCCTTGATGGCTCCATGTTTGGCCATTCCACCTCCCATTCCGTTCCTCCATTGTTCCTCCTATCGCCCGCTCACCGTTTTGTGTTGTGGCTTTGCGGGTGTGTGCCCTACCCAAACATTCTCGCCTCATGCATATTTATTTTGCACGGTTCTTACTCGTATATGGCAAGGCGGAGTGTGGCTGCTTGCGACTCATCATCATACATATATACAAAAAAAGTACGTAGTTTGGTTGGGCATTCAAGGCACGCACAATTCAGTTCAATTCAATTCATTTTGATGGTTTGTTACTTTTTGTTTGACGTCAGCCTTGAGTGGCGACAGGTGATGAGGGATCTATTAGGACAGAGCTAATTTGGGGGATTGACAATTAAGGGAATGGGGAAAAATGCTTCTTAGATTTCAGATGCAAGATCTCATTCCCGTTCGCAGATCTCATTCCTCCCTGACCTAACTAAACACATAACAGAGTATGCCAACACAAACCCAAGACCAGCTGTCAATATATTTATGAGCTTTGCATTGTTGGGCGTTGCATAAGCTGATAGAAATCTCTCTCCCATTCACCGTAATGCGTGCTCAAAGTTTCTCTCTCTCAACTGTCCGCTGACTTCTGTCGTCTGCTTGCCGTCTTCTGACTTTTGTCTGCAGTCTTACTACCCCCCTCCCCCCCATTTAGCAATTTAAAAATGTTATTTTCGCTTTTATTTAAATTTATTATGTATTTCTGTGGGCGCCCGCCCGCCAGTCCCCATCTGTTTGTCTGTCTTTCAGTCTTGGAAATATTTGCATTGTTTATGTTTGAGTTTGTTGAGCTAATGGCGGATGGCAGATGCGGTGGATTCCTGTTTTCTGTCTTCTATATTAAAGGCTTTCGAGGCTGTTTAGATGTGAGACTATTTTTAGTCGGCTTTACGAGTCTTCTCACCTCACCTACTGCCACATAAATGACTCGACACGTGCTCTCTGACGTCAAATTAATGGCAGTTCTTATATCAGTTCTTGTGTCAAAAGGCTTTTGCTGCTGTTCTCTCTCACTCTCTTTCTGCCCTCTCTGTTAGACAGACTTTGTTTGTGGCTTTTGTATATTGTTCACCCACTTAAATTTAGCTCAAAACCTTATCGGACAATATACGGAGTAACGATTTATAGTTTAGCGTTTTATTATGACTATTTTTGCTGGAGCTTAATTGCCTAATTAGTGGCTCATTGGCTCATTGGTGTGCGAGACTGTGCTTTGATTAATTTTCAATTGTTTATGTTTACTTGAAATGGGGTTTATTTTGGGGTGTACTGGGGCTGTGGGGAGGACTGGCGAATGCTAAGGAAGAGTCGATTTATAGGTCTTTGTTTGCACTCCTTTTGTGTACTTCCCGCCTAGAATAGAGTCTCTCCTCGACCTCCTCCTACTACCATAAAGCTCACTCCGATTTCATTTAAAAATTCCCAACTTAAAGCTTTTTCTTGCCTCTCTCTCTCTCGCTCTCGCTCTCTCTGTCGTCGTCTTTTGCTCTTATTGATAATGATGGGTCATTAAAATTTGCGCTGCCGCCAGTTGAATGCAAATGTTTGCAGATTAATGCCACCAATTGAAATTGCAATGCCAATTCCGTATACCGAGTCTCTCTGTCCCTCTGCGTCATGCTCTATAAATAAACTCTGTGGGCTCTGTGTGAGATTTGCTTACCGCCGTGTACGATATTTAATAAACTTATCAAATGTTTGCCAACTGGATGGAGGTTTCGCTTGGAGGCTTTCCGCAACAGATAAAGTTCAATGGGCGGTCGGTCGGACGCTGCTCTCTAGTCTCCACTCTCCACTCTCCACTCTCCGCTCTCCGCTCTCCCGCTGTGCAAAAGCCAATCATAATTAAGAGCAATCTCTCATAAACTAAGCCAAACCGCCTTAGGCTAGTGTAATCCACTGATAAGTGTTTGCCCCGCACAATCCACTGATAACGAATGGGCTCGTAGATTGACTTTTGTTTACTCGAGCGTTTGAAAGCAATTAAACTTTGTAATACGAAGCAGAAGCCAGGCAGTACAAATCAATGTGCAGGCAGGCAGGCGCCTTATCACACGCCATTAAAAGAGGGAAAAGTTCAATTTGGTTCAATATCTAAATTGAATTTAAAGTCCCCTAAGTTCCCTAATTTGCACAAATTGTTTACACATTTTACATGCGCTGTGTTTGTTGCTCTCTTTTTTACACTTATAAAATTGTGATTTGTTATCGGGGGTTTCATCAGATAAGAGCTAATGAATGCCTCACGTACGATGCTGCAGAATGGGAATTATTTATAGCTGCCCCGCCAATGCATAATTTGATCTAATTTTGTAATCAAATAATCAGGCGGCACATAGAGAGCACAAATTGCCTGCCTCCCTGCTAATTATGGTTTTTGCAATTGAATAGAGAGAGTGGTGGGGAGGGGAGGGGAGGGAGGGTGCAAAGTGCATCATAGACATAGTCGGCAGAAGCTCTCAATTCAATTTGCCTCTGCGTCATTGCGGTAATGCATTTTGCTTCAGCGATTCAGCGACAGAACCACAGAACCCATAGACCTGCCAGCTCCCCCTACACCACCCTTCCCCGCTCAACCAATCAGCACTTGGGCGATGGATCCCCTGAGCTTTGCGCTGCTGCTGCTGCTGCAGTAGTTCTACAATTAAATTAGAGCCCAGCTCTGTGTCGCTTATTGTTGAGTATTTGATGGAGGGTACAGGGCGTTCCATCGAGGTGGAAGTCTGGATAAATTGTGGTCTGAGGTTAGATAATTGTTAGGAACAACTGCAACTTGATCACATCGATTGATTGACAGTGGGTGCATATTATAGATAATTTGGTTAGATTTGCAACTAACCCATTTATTGTGATCATATTTCGTTCAGCATTCACTGAGTGAGTGGTTGAATTTCATGGACTAAAATCAATTAAATTCTCATGCGCTCTGGAGACCTTTTGGCCTGCAGCTGAACCTCGATTGAACTGTTATTGCAGGAACATCTTCTAGGGATTACCACACGGTGACTTAGGGGCACTTTGGTCACAGATTCCTGCCTTTGAGGTATTTCTAATACATAGAAAGAAAGTCATCCAAGTTGTGGCTTCGTTTTCAGCATTGTCTTTTTTGTATAATTTGATTTTAGGCGCATAAAAACAGAGATCCAACTAAGATTAAATAATATTCTCTCTCAATTTCCCTTTTGCAGAGGAGGAAGCTTACATGTGCCTCGCCGGTTTGGTGGGCAGCAAGGAGAAGGTATTCATCAATCAAACCAAACTACAGCATGAGGTCACCTGGAAGACGGTGATGCAGATAGCCAAAAAGCACACGGTAAGCATCAATCAATCAGTCAATGAATCGTGTAAATAATTTGTAAATTTCCTTAACAGAAAAGTGCAATTTCGTATTTCCAACGTATTTGTCCGGGCCTGAAGCTGGAGCGCGTATTCATGGACTGGTGCTGGTGGATATTAGCCGGTCTACCCTTCCAGCATCTGGTGCGGATTATGGACTGTTATTTCCACGAGGGCATCAAGGTGCTGTACCGCGTGGCCCTCGTTGTGCTCAATCTGTTCCACAAGGAGTGCCAGTCGAACAACGAATGGAGTCCGGATAATATTAAAAACGACATTGGCAATGCCCTGATTAAATTCTGCAAGAAAATACCAGTGTCACCGGCGAAGCTGCTCCATGCCGCGTTTAGTATTAGGGGACTGAGGTATGTCACATGATGAAATATTACCATCAAATGTTTCAACTCATTTCTGTATTTGTTGTTGCAGTACCCAGTATATTTCTAGAATATTTATCAAGACTGAAATGCTACTAAAAAGCCGTTCCGTGCTCAATAGCGGTTCGAAGCAATTAATCAAATCGCGTTCAAGTGATAATCTGCCCACTAGTCAGTCGCAGGTGAACATTCAAATGATGTCGCATACATTGACCATCCGTGAGGTACGTAATCCATAATCCCAGCTAAAGTTCTTCCCCCAAACCCCACACCCACATCACACGAAATATACAAAAAGAGAAAAAGAAACTTTAGCCAGGAAGAGCAACCAAACTGCTCTCTTTCCCTCTCTCCACACAGCACAAATACGAAAGAAAAAAACACTTTAATCTAATGGTAAAAACTATTTTTTCATCTGTTTTTTGATATCTATATATTTTGTTTCCTTCTGGTTATGTTTCTGATACAACTCCCACCTCAAAATACAAAACAAACAAAATCTGTGTGTCCAATCCATAAACCAGAAGCTGCACTCCGAGAGCTGTCGCAATTTGGTATGAGGCTAGATACAAATTATTCCAAATTTATACAAAATACTCACAACTGATAATGATAATAATGTTTTACCTGCGATGTTGGATTGATTCTGCTTGTTCTTGTTCGGTTTTTCATTACTTTTCGCTATTTAAATATCTGTATATGATAATGTTTATTGAATGAGTTTCCTACCATTCAGTTGTTCATTTGTTCGGCCATGGAAATTGCTTGAGTTCCGAGAGTTTAAGGGGAGATGAAACAAATGTAGGGGATAGACAATGCATGAGTTAAGATGAGGGAGAAATTGCTTATAAACGATAAATAATTGTTTTCAAAGAGGAAATTGTATTAACGGAGATTGTTATGCTCTGGTTGAATATTACTATGATTATAAAATATAAATCTATTCATTTCTTTACCTTATTTGTTGTGCAATACTCAACAACTTAATGTGATTTATCGCTAATTGATAATTCTGATTTACTGATAAGAAATGGCAGCAAATTGCCATATAACTAGGAAATGATTTAAAATTAAATAATTGCCACATTTATTGTAGATAAAGCAACAAATCATATGGGAAATATATGCAAATTGAAGTCAAAGACTTTTCCAACTTGTCAATGCCGAAAGGCATTTCGCAGAGTTTTTACCCCCAATTGACAAATTCGGCTCGAGTTTTGTGTTCGTTCACTGCTGCCACTTGACTTTTGTGTTGTTTTATATTCTCTTTATTTTGTTTAAAGTTTATTTCGGTTTATATTTTATTGTTGCTGCTGAATGAACTAACTTTTGTGAAGCTTTTCGTTGCCGTTTCGTTCTGTTTTACTTAAACAAAAACAAAGCCTAAACATACAACCAATCATGATAAATATACATGTACTCACATCCCCACCACATGCAGCTTTATCTACTTAAATACTTAGCTTTTTATTCTACTCAAAATATATACTCACAAACACACAGAAATATACAAAACCCGAAATATCCTGCAGTGCCATATACAAGCTGCTCCTTTATATGAACAAAATCTTTATAAAAATGTTATTTCTATTTCTCTTGTATCCGTTTTTTTTTTTGCTGCCTTGGCAAACGAATGAATCAAATGAAATCAAATCAAATCAAATCAAAAATCTGAAAAACATTTTGCGTACGCTTTGATCACATTTCGAAATCGATGCAAAAACAATCTTGATTTTGGGTATTCCATATAAATATTAAATTTATCATAGGGCGAAAAGTCGCCCGGCCATAGAGCCATCGCAATGGGCGTCTATCCCATACACAATCTGAAAAGTCAAGTCTGTAAGAACGAAGATGTAAGTGAAAAGTCAAAGTCTCCACGCCACACCACACCCACAAAACCAACATTTCAATTTATATTAAAAAAAAACATATGTATTATCCCCAATTATATATTCTCAAGCATAGCTAAATGATTGACAGCTTTTATGCACCGTTTATGATTCCGAAAATTAGGCATGCTGGAAACGTTTCAAACATCTATTTGGACTTATATTTGATATAAAATTTAAGCTGATTTCAGTTACCATTTGATAGAAATTCAAACTGATTTTTAGTTGATTTTTGTTGCTGGTTTTTTGTTCTTATAATTTGTTAGTGTGGGAAATATTTAAGCTAGCGACAGTACAAGAGGAGAGATAATCTACTCAATGTGTCCCACGCCCCTCCATAATATCGTATTCATTTTTTATTCCCCGACATTTATCTATCGCCCATAATTGACATTTGTTCTGTTTTTTGTTTTGCTTTTGATTTCTTTCGTTTTTGCAATATATATCCATCTATATATATCTTTTCATAGCATTTTGGTTTGCCGGGCACAAAGAATTTCATAAAAACCTGGACGGATAGACAATTTGTAAGCATTGCATTGCATATTGAGAACCAAAACTCCCCCACCAACAAAACCAAATATCTGCCATTAGACATTTCCCTTTCCACATGTAAACCACCTTCATAAATGTCCATTTGTAATATCCATTCGAACAAATCCGTTTCGTGCCGTCTTAGAAAATGTTTTAGACAAGTGTTTTTGTTTTGTCTATGCAAAAGTGTCCTTTGTCCTAGAGAAACTCTTTCATCATCATCCCATACATAAAATCGGAATAAAAACAGTTGAAAGTTTTACAAGCGCTGCTGCTGCTGTCTACAGTTTGAGCTGCTGCTGCCTACAGTTTGAGCTGCTGCTGTACCGTGCGCCGTAGTTAGACCATCCTTAGTGCCCCTTACTTACCCCATTAGATCTGTTTGAGAGTTCGTTTATCCCGTTTATTACATACATATAAATGTTACTTTGGCTTTTAGTTTGGTTTTTCGTTGGCTTTTGGCCATTTAGTTCATGTTCTTTCACGTCTTTTATTGACTACCCGCCGCCTACTACGTATTTACTTTTGTTTTGTCATTTGGCTAATTGCTACCCCACTTAAATCAGTTCAGTTACTTGTACCGAGTAGTTGTAGCTAAATTAAACTGCTCTTTGCCAATGCAATGAAAACTAACAAAAATACTGTTTGTGTTGCTTCCCTTTAGCTGTTCACGTTGTGGTCGTGGCTGCCCGTGCGGATAACAATGTACCAACCGGTGCTGCTGTACACCACAGAGGAGCACGGCTGCTCGCTGACCACATTCTATGTGCGTGTGGAGCAGCACGAGCCCACGCTGCTCATGATCAAAACTTGCAATAATGAGGTACGTTTCTGAACAAAAACTATCCAAAAGATCGAACTTAACTCCATTTGGTCCTTCAGGTATTTGGCGCCTATTGCTCGTCGCGCTGGTTTGAACGGAATGTCAAGGATGACAAGGGCCAGCGACAGGCCTACTTTGGCACCGGCGAAACCTTCCTCTTCTCTTTGTATCCAGAGCGTGCCAAGTACCCCTGGGTGGGCATTGAGGGTGACAAGGATCTGGGACACAGTTCCGAGCTGTTTATGGCCGCAGATTCCAAAATGATTACCATCGGTGGAGGGTAAGTTGTGAATTCTTTTGATACCCAAACTGTTTCGCTTACTAATGTGGCTGCTCCTCTTCCTTTTTAGTGAGGGCCAGGCCATCTGGATGGATGAGAATATACGCTTTGGCAAAACGGATGGTTGCAAGACCTTCAACAATCCCCCGCTCTGTCCATCCGGTGACTTTGAGATACGCGTACTGGAGGTCTATGGCTTTGTGGGCATCTAAAGGAGACTCGGAATGGGAAGCTCTGTTTCAATCCAACCAATAACGCCCGCCGATGATCAAGTGCTCAGCCAAAAACCAAAACCCTTTGTGCAACTCCACCACAAAAAACCACTCAAAAACCTAAAGATTTCACATACACATGGCGGAAGATGCTCCTAAAGAAGGAAGATGAAACAAATGTTTAAACATTTATAAACAAAAAAAAACTATTTATAAATAGATGTAACGAAAGTGGCAGCAAGCAGTGCAGCAAGCAGTGCAGCCTTCGTGTTAATGTTAAATGTTTCAAATGAATGAAGATACAAAAAACATACAAATTATATATTATATAATGGAAATACTCTGTGAGTTTATGTTTCAAAACGCAAAGCTTTGAAATTACAATACAATAGTTGTTATAATAATAATAATAATAATAACCACCCCCCCCCACATACACATATACTATATAAAACATAGATAAACATAACCATAAACATAAACATATATGAAACGTATGCATAAACAATAACTATATAATGATGTGTATAACTAAATGTAAATCCGTATTTCTATACCCCTGAAAAAACTGTTGTAGAAGGATAAACCCGCGTAAGAATTGAAGCAAAATTGAAAATGATAACAAAATATGGATGGAAAAATATGTTTATTATTGTTTATTTCGTTTATAATTTCGTTTAGCTTGTATTTGATGTATTTTCTTTATTTTTTTTTTCTGTAAACCAAATTTACTGACTTGACTGAATTCGTTATTAATGTTGTTAAGATTGCTATTATTATTGCTATTACTATTTGCTATGTGTATAGAAAAGTGTACAACTTGAGACTTGTCTCTGGACGGGGTTCACGCCATTTGGTCGCAGCAAGAAAAAATATATTATGGATAAAGCAAAAAAAGCCCCAAACATGTTTCGATTAAAGAGCTACAATGATTATGCTCTGATAAAACATAAACAAACTATACCTTAGATATGCCCAATAACATAAATATAAAGCCCACAAAATGATACAAAAATGTAAAGCCAACAGAGCACAGTCCGCAGAGAGAGGGAAAGAGCGAGCGATCGATCCACGTACTCATGTCAAATTGATCTCAAAATGGAAAAGAAAATATCTAGAAAGAAATGTATTACAAGTTGAAGGCTACATAAACAAAACAATCGATGGAAGTTCAATAACTATTTTAAGATTCCATTCCAACGAAATTCACGCAAGCACACACGAAATTTTTGCACTCTTTTCTAGTCAGTTTTTATGTTAAAAAGAAAGAAAAACAAATAAGAATATGATGTGTGGGGATTGATTGCTCTCTTCCTGTGTTGGCCTCTCTTGATCTGACTTTGAGCGATGGCAGACTCTGTTGGACCCAGTTGAAACGATCATTGCACTACTCAAGCGAATTGTTACGAGCCACAACGAAAAATTGAAGAAAGCGAAAACAAAAGTTGAAGACATGGGCCGCAGATTGCAAGCAAAATGACAGGCAAACACTCCACAACGATTGCGGAGGCTGGTACTCCACAATGTCCTATGTATAACCCTTACCCCCATCCAGATCCAATGCAATCTGCGGGCGTATGGAGAGTGGCCGTGGAAAGGCTACGCGTAAATATGAATAGTTCTCTAGGTTTTAAACATAAAACTCTCTGTGTTGTTGTTGTTACTATTGATTCACTTGTATATGTGTGTGTGTAACCGATCAATAACACTATAAATACCAGCTGCAAAACAGCTGAACAAGATGATCGATCCCCCAATACATAATGCATAAGCGATAAATAAGTGAATGAAATCCGTTTGTTACTTGTTTTCCGAATGTGAAATTACTTTATTTTGGTTGACTAATTCCTACACAATCGTTCGATGATAATGTTTATAGAGCTTAAGACGATCGGTGGGAGTGCTTGGAGCGGATTGTTTATGGCATTGCCTCAGTCCCCAGGGTTTCTCTTGGTTGGGGATGCAGAGAGCGAACGCTTACATGGACAGTATTTGGTAAAGCAAACACTAAATCTTTTGTACATAAAAAAAAGCTGTTTTTTCTATCTGAAATTGTTCTCAATGTGTGTGTAGTTTATAATATTTGATATATGCCTATACATTATATACAGATAAATGCCCATAAACATAAACATATATATTTATATTTGAATGTTATTTATGTGTAGCCCTTGCAAAGTGAAATGAATAGTTGTAGATGCTGTTGCCAGCAAGCTAAACCCATAAATCATGCTATAGAGATCGCGTTATCCCATACCCTTAACCCCTAAACAATAATTTATGCAGCAAACTGTGGAAATCCGACACATAAATATATTATCTGCATATTATATTAAGAAATCAAGAGTTGATTTTTTGACATGTTATTTTTATTTAAATTCTCATTACAACACACACACACACACATACACATACACATACACACACATATATAGTAGGAGACGAGTAAAATTTTATTCAATAAATTATAAATATTATTATTAAACAAACAAGAATAACTATTATAAAAAATATATATATTATATGTATGTTAAATCATTTTAGTGGATGTGTAAAAACAACGGAAACGAAAATCAAATAAATGAGAAATTAAAGCAAAAACATGTTTATCCACAGAGAAAAAGAGTGATAAGAGCTTAAAAATAATTCCATAATCGGTGCTCGCTGCGTTCGTCACGTTTCGAAGTTTGATCAAAAGTATAAAGCTTGACTCGGCACTGCCCTGCTCTCCTGTTAGTTTGACAGCCACAAAAGTAAAGCAATAAGAAAAGCAATCCACATAGAGGGCAACCCACTGCTCGCTGCATTACATAGATCGCTGTTGCAGAGCGTACAGCCAAGGAAATTCTGATATGGCACCAGTGGATCCGGCGACTCGTCGCAGCTGAACTCCGCAGGCGAGGAATCGCCAAAGAAGCAAGAACGTCGCACGAAACGGGAGCTTCCAGGCGCTGCCAAAACAAAAGCAATAAAAAACAGTTTTAATGCAACCATGCCTACATGTACATACGTGATGTATGTATATTATGTACTTACCACCCTCATAGTACTTGGTCAGGCAAGTGGGCTCGGCGCTTTGTGGGTAACGGGATCGCATGTCGCCGAGGACTTCAACGGCATTACAATCCGTCTTGGCTATGTCATCGCCCGAGAAAATCTCCCCACAGCCGGCGTCGTTCACGGAATCGCATTCGAAGCAGGTAATCGCTAGAGCTACGGGGGAGGGTTGATGATGATGACGACATGCGTAAATATGTGTGTCAAAGAGGAGAAGAAGAAAGAGGAGGAGGGAGCGACATTCACCTGTGCTGACCAGCGTGACGAGCAGCCACAGAGAGGAGGAGACAAGCAGACGCATTGTACCGTACGATCTGAATACTCTCCACTCTTCACTCTCCACTCTGTCCACTCTGTCCACTCTCCACACTGTCCACTGCGCGCTAATGGGGCTGGTGTCGAGAGGTGATTCAATAGATACGGATACAGATGCGATCTGGTCTGGTCTGTGCTACAGATGTTCTTTTCACAGTCTTCACAGATGCCAATGGCAATCACATTATATACAGTATTGTTGCCTACAGCTAGTGTCTGCCCGACTATTCACTACCGACTACCGACTACCGACTCGAAGCGTTGCACACATGAGACTGAACAGAAGCAAAAACTTAACTGAACTGAACTGAACTGAACAGAACTGAACAATAATCGCATTCAGAATGTGATTTTCATAAACAGATTTTTGTGTTGTGCTGTTGTGTGTTGTGTGTTTGTTCATTTCTTTTGCTTTTTCAGCTCATTTCATTTCACGTTTCTGCTTCCTGGCATTTTATACCCGAGCGTCGTGTACCTTCGAGCATATCCAGGCCTTGGAGTGGGGGTGCCCGAAATACCGACCGCATTCGTGTTGACATTGTGGGTGGAATGGATGTGTGTGCCTGGCCTGCCCTTCTCCATCGTTTATACATCCATCTCGGAGGCAGTTCATTAGTGGCATTCGAACAAATAAACAATTTGGCATTTCTTCGGTGTAAAATTAGTTTTTATTAGTTTGTATTTCGCTCTCCAAATGGCCTAAACGGACTCATCATGGCACTGATTGAACGCTAACATTCCATTAGCCTAATTACACTTGAAATTGTGACATTAAAGTAAAGACACAGCTAAGAACTCTCTACAAAGGTATGACTACAATTTGACTAGGCACAGGGATCCCTAGGATCTCGTTTTCAGGGCACTTGTGTTGCCAGTAGAGACACAATCAGTGATATCATTTGCCACGTCTCCGCATGATTAACCCGCACGGCCTCCGCTCCGTTGCAGTAGTTCTCGTTGTCGCACACATGACAGCTCGTGTTCTTCACCGCCGTCAAAGTGGGATCCATGCGGCACCAGACATCGGTGGCATTCACATCGCCAAAGTAGCAGCCACGCACTATTTTGCGTACACCATGCTCTGTGGGAATATACAATGCGTTTTTATTTGGGTATTATTCAGTCTACTTTCGGGCTAAACTTCTATAGTCTTTCCATGTTTGATGCTAAATGGAGCGTCACCCCAATGTCTGGTGGAACTATTAAAAATATTTTGATATAGTGCGACAGCTGTTGGTACAAATATGTAGCCATTCTATATCAACAAAGTGGCTACAAACTACAAACTATTTAGTGGACATCTTTCATGAGCTCATTCGGCAAAATTGCCAAGGAAAGTTTGCTGTAATGATAGAAGTCTCTAGGGAATATATCAACCACATGCTCAGACAGACTGTGAATGTTCTTTCAGTTGGGTTAAATATTCTTAATCATTGATCATAATTTATTGAATCTTCATTCATTAATTTAATCATTTAATTTGATTTCTTTCTTTATTTTAAACATCTCAAAAGAAATTGGCCATAAATCAGAATGCCTCAGAATGCAATATCTGCTGATGAATATCTCTTATCGTATATTTTCTTGAAAGCAATGAAAGTGTCATAAATCATTTTTAAGTGCTTTAAACATCTTGCAACTTTTAGAGACTATTTTGGTACATTTTCTGTACCTATTTTTACCTATTTTTGTGGTATAATAAGTGCAGGCAAATGTGTAAAAGTCTGACAGGAATTGCACACAGATAATTACCCTACACAACTACCTCCTCCTTTTCATGGATCAATCCAACTTTTAGGACAGAATATTCGAGCATCAAAGATGCACTTTTCTTTCTACTTTCTCCCTACATTACTCAAACTTACTGCCTAAGACATTTTGCTGCTTTTTGGACTCACCCTTGAAGACCCGCTTCAGACAGGCCGTGGCATTCACGCTGAGCAGATCATTCTCCAGGAACCGGGGCGGCGCAATGAAGGCGCAATCGTATTTGAAATGATTCTCGACTTCAAAGTTCTCGCCGCAGCTCGCCTCGTAGACAGACTCACAGGCATAGCACTTGATGGCGTAAGCTGGTTGGCATTGGCAACATGAAAAAAACACGAGAAAGATGAAAAGGGGACAGGACAGGACAGGAGGCAGGCAGCAAACACACAAAAGTAAAAGAAGAATAATTAAATACCAAAACACAAAATGTCAGAATGGAAATGGAAAATGCATGCAAGCAGAGGGAAACTTTGGCAGAACCGAAGGTGGTAGACTCTTACATATTTGTGGGGAATCGGATGAGAGTCTTACAAACATTTAATTATTCTTTTGAAAGCTTTAAAATATAGCAATATAATATAACAAAACAAATTGTAAATAATTTTCTTCTCCATTTTAAACACTTTGCCAGGTCCGTGCTACCCTTTCCAAGAGCATAAACCACCAGAATAAATAAATAAGAAACAAAAACCAACTGCAAAGCCCAAAACAAAAGCGAAACAAACCTGAGGCCAGCAGCGAGAGGAGCGCGCCAAACAGAAGTAAATATTGCCGCATAGTTGCGGTTGTGAATGGGACGTGTTGGGTTGGGTTTGGACGGCAGGAAAGGCACTTTTCCACGAGCAAAGTTTCCTTTTGGATTGTGTTTTATTGGCTGGCGTTTTATTCAAGTTGAACGCGTACTTTTGACTCTTCTCACTCGACGCCCGAGACAGAGCAAATGGCAATTGGAACGATCCACTCGAGATTTAAATATAAAAATATTTTTCCACATATACAATACGTATCTATACGTAATATCCACAATATAAAGAAATGAATGTTTTCTGCTTATATATAAATTATTTGTACATTTTTTTGTGAGTATTGTGGGGGCTTTTCTTTTCGGGGCACGTTACGCGATTGTAAACACGCGTCTTTTCCTTTGCTTTACTTTTTTCTCCTCGCTTTTCTAGACTACCAAAATTTGCCCGCTTAAATGCCAGCCAGTCGTCGCGGCTGCCAACGAATTCGAACTGAAAGAATGCCCCGAAAAGCATTTCCAAATTCAACTCCTTGTCTCTCTGCCTCTTGTTTCTGCATCTCTTTGGCCGCTCCCACACACTGTGCCACTCTTTCTCCCTCTCTCTTTTTTGAGTGCTTGGCGCGGAAGAAACTTTATGGCCATTTCGTCTGGCGTCATCGCTCAACATTTTAATTTGTCTAATTTTAATGAACGTTTTGCTTTTGGCTTTCCCAACGCATGGCATGGCAGCCGGGAATTTAGACACTCGCACATGTGGGCGAGAGCGGTGGTGGGGTTGGTAGTGGGAGCGAGTGGAAGGAGGAGACTGGGAGAGAGTGTGCGAGGAGAAAAGGTGTGTTGGAACAAAGGTTGGGAAGCTCTTACGGTGGCATTCCCATGGAAATCATATAAAGAAAACGTTCTGATTCATCAGTGGCTTACATTGGAATGGAAAAATTTACCGGAGAACAGCAGCTTCAGTGTGATTATCTACCAGACTCTACCCAAGCAAAGGGCACAAGCATCACGGCATGCAGAGGGGCTGACTAACGCCTCCACCCTACATTTATACATCTTGAACATTGCGGTTCTATTATCGTCAGGAAAGAGAGTTCCAAAAGTTGAGCAAAGAGCAAGGCCGGCTGCAGCATGAGTCAAAGGCAGAAGAGAATGAAAGTGAATGGAATTTGGACCTGGTATTTCATCGGGTGCCTCATATGTCATGTGCTCGGAGGAAGAATCAAAGATATATCGTAGGCAGAGCAGCAGCTCTTTGCCTCATGGCCAATTCCTTTACGCATATTGTCGTTATACATTTCAAAGCCGTCGGATATGTAAATCCGAGGAGTATAAGCTGTGTGATACGAGTAGAGGAAAAATGTAAGATTTCAGTCTACACCAGCGACTTCCAGTAGAACATTACAGGCCAGCGTCAGTAGTGAATGAGAACAGAGAAGAGAGCAGGGAATAGTGGAAACAACCACTGATCAAACCCATTAAATTTACAGTCTCCCAGAATAGTCTCCCAAAATGCAATATAATACCAAGTGTATTGGTGGACAATTAACAAAATTTTTATTTGAAATAAATAAAGCGATTCGAATGCAGACAAAAAATGTTCGACGGGTGTACCAACAATAAACACAGATGCACAATGCAAGATTCACAATCAAGAGAATTATTCAAGCGATTCGATGATAAAAGCGGGCACAACATCTACCACGGACATGGAAAGAGAGTGTGGGTGAGAGAGCGCCGCTCTGCGTCGCTCTCTTAGGCCAGCAGACGAGCGACGCCGAAGAAGAGCAGAATGGCGCCGGCAATGGGTGCGAGGGTGGCAGATCCATTGCACTCGTCCTTGGTGCAGACATCACAGCTCAGCTGCTTGGCGAAGGGCAGGGAGGGATCCGAGGTGCAACCTGTCTGAGTGTTGCTGATGTCCCCGAAGTAGCAGCTGCGCACCACCTGTGGGTGTCCGGGCACTACAGCACGAAAAAGAAAAGTAAATAAAATGGATTTTAGTGCATTTTTTATGTGGATTCATTTATTGATTTTATATTTCTCTTTAACTGCAAGCAAAAACAGTTTAAGGCACTTCAAAGGCCACCGAACTATTTTTGCTACATTCATTTATGGCCATTAAAATATTTTATTGTTTGTGTACGTGTTGGAATTTTTGATTAATTTCTAAGAAGTTTCAGCAAACAGTTTTCCGCTGTTTAATGTAATTTCCCATAAGGTTTTGTTCGTTTTCAATGGAAATAAATTGCAAAATAATTAAACCAACAGACAATTAACAGCCATTATTAATAACAATTGAGTGCCTTGTTCGTGGAGGGTGGCTGTTACATGTGCTATAAAACTATAATTAAAAACTAAAAAATATATCTCATAGCTAGTGAGGAATAATTATTGTACCTCCAGTCGCTCTGATAAATCAGTTTCATTTGTTTATCAAATACATTTAGCCACACCCAAGAGCGTCACTCATGTCTAGAGTCAAATCCAAATTCTGAACATTTGCAGCAAGTCCTGCACAAATTTAACTCAATTCCTTGCATGCAGTTCCAGGCCTTACATTCCCTTCATGCAATGTTTTTAATTACACTGAAATATGCATTTAAATTAGCATATTGGTACCCGCCCTTAACATCGTTAAGATCTGGCACACAGAGGGCAGTTCGAGTTCGAGTACAAACATAGTCATGACTCATTTGTGTGGCTGACTACTGCCCGTCTGGCAGTTAATTGCCGCTGCTGCCGCTCCCTGTCGAGGCGTAGGTCGACACTT